GCAACAGAGCTATGTCCCCACCATGTCCTCATCACATGGTGGGTAGGGAAGCATGGCTTCTTTTATGATATTCAATTGTAGTAGAGCAGATATACTCAAAAGACAGCAGAATTATATTTTACGATAAAAATCCTACAGCCGGGCACAGTGGCTTCCAGCTGTAATCCCAGCACTTTGGAAGGCGGAGGCAGGCAGATCGCTTGAGTCCAGGAGTTTGAGATCAGCCTGGGCAACATGCTGAGACCCCATCTCGACAAGGAAATATTTTTAAAAATTAGCTGGGCATGGTGGCGTGCACCTGTAGTCCCAACTACTTGGGGGTCTGATTTGAAAGAATCATTTGAACCCAGGAGATGGAGGTCGCAATGAATTGACTTGGTGCCACTGCATGCTAGCCTGGGTGACAGAGCAAGGCCATGTTTGTTTGTTTTTTTAAATCCTTTATAGTCATCATTAAACCAGATAATCTATCAAATCAGATACTGATGATTCTGGCAATAATATTTGAGAGCAGGTTGGAATTGCAATACCTACCTGCAAATAATAATCAGTATAACTTTCCCTGATTTGTGTAGTTATTCAAAACCAAATCTTTATTCAAAACCAAATCTAAGAGCACAAAGGACCAGTTAACTTGGAAAGAATATTGATATCTTAGTCAAGTTCTAATTCAATATCAACAATGGATATACCTGCTTTCTCTTTTGTTCCACTGATGATCTTATTTTTCCATTGGCAGCTTTATCTCCTGTGTGAAGTGTGACAATGCAAGCATAGTACTTAAGATGACAAATATAACCGAATCCAGCATTATGGTGATGTATTCTTTCAATACGTAATACAGAAGCTAACAAAATTGACTTTGCATCATCTTCTGTAATGTAGTAAAGAGAATTCTGTTTGCAAGCCCAGAATGATTATTTTAGTGAAATTTAGATGTTGTGGCCTGAAGTGGTGGCACATGCCTGTAGTCCCTGCTACTTGGGAGGCTGAGGTGGGAGGATCCCTCGAGCCCAGGAGTTTGAGGCTGCAGTGAGCAGTGACTGGGCCATTGCACTCCAGCCCGGGCAACAGAGTGAGACCCTGTCTCAGAAGAAAATGAAAATTAAAGATGAATGAAAGTGGCCATGCGACATGGCTGAAGAGATCTGGTTAAGCCATTTCCTTGATTATAAGATAACAGATTCTATACGGTAATACATGGGCAGTGGAGACCACGGTAGAAGATGAGACAGAGGGAGAAATGTGTAGAATCATGTACGAAGAATGTCACTTGCCAAAGGGAACAGGATTAAGTAGGACCCCACAAAGATCTGCAATTCCCAGATGACTTAGGTTAAAGGGGGGGTAAAATGGATCTGCTGTTGGGCTTTCATTTTCCAGAAACATGGTGCCCCAGGGCAAAGCATGCACAGCACTCTGCATTGCTCAAAACTACAAACACAAAACAAAACTAAAAGATCCTGGCCAGGTGGCTGGAATAGAATAGAAACTCCCTCAACTGGAGGATGAAAAAAATCCAACAAATGCTCAAGTTAGTGTCTTATTTCATAGAATTCCAAAGACTACATGATGGAATACAGGCCTCCACCAAATTGGTGGTGAGATCAGAAATGTACAAGATCCGGGACCCTCAGAAAAGTAATATTCCTTGTAGGTAAACTGAGGGGAAATCTATTCATTAGAGAAGGGTGATGGAGACCGCTACCTCCCTCAGCTTCGGAGATGGCTGAAAGCAAAATACAGAAACAGTTATCTTCGGAGAATTCCTAATTACAACAGAACTCGCACTTGGGGTTTATATCAGTCAGGGTTCCAGGATGATGATGACGTAACATACAAATTAAGGTA